CGGCTTCGATATACTCCTTCCGATGCTGTGCGACGGACACGCGCGACGAAAATCGATCTCCGTTGCGTAAATATTTTATACCAATTTATCTCCCCTTGTGCATACAATATCAATTTTTTTTTTTTTTTTTTTTTTTTATACTCGAGAGTCTACTTATATGTTCTGTAAATGTAACAAACGGAGTACAATAAATTGTTATAATGCAGCGCACATTCTCCCGCTTGTATATCACATAACCCCCGTGACAAACATGTACCGCCTAGTTCCACAACGATGCGCGTCTTGTCAACTCGCTTCGCATAAAAAAATACTAAGTAATTACATTCCTTCCATCATTTTTTCTATATATTCTATCTTACTTCTATATTACAAATTTAAATTATTTCTTTTTTCTGAGCATTTTTTTTTTTTTTTTTTGCAAATATGTGTGTGTATATTTGATATATACGATTCTTTGAGAAATATTCAATTATTAAGAGATGTAGGTAGGTACGTTTTGGTTCAAAGGGGTCAGTCTCTAAAGAAAAGTTTGCATAAATAAATTATAAAAAAAAAAGGAAAAAATCAAATTAAGAAATACTGGAACTAAACGGGATACCAAACGGGTGAGTAATGGGCATTGTCCCCTCGCGGAAAATAATCGATTCCTACAATAAATTATGCTAAATAAGATAATATTTATATCATACCTAAATTTTTAAATGAACACTTGTTCGCTCGCTAAACTATCCGCAAATGGCGCGACAATGACCTTTGTGGCAAAGTAAAATGTCAAACCAAACGTTATAGAAATTGGCAATGCAGGTAGCGCTTTCTTGAATATGGCTAGCAACAGCAACGTCAAACACAGGCCCTATAATATACAAATAAAAAAAAAACACATTTATTAGAAAAATTTTATCCATATTCAATTGGTGAGCGTATTCTTAAATACGTACAATAAGAATAGCAACAAAGCAAGCCAAGGTAGTGTTCCAGTCTCCGTAACTGGACGCCTTTCCGACAAGCACGCTGTAGAATATAAAGTCACCAAGACCTAGTTTAACTCCGCGCTCTTCCTCGGTTACTGTCGCTTGCCCCTGCGATTCTCGTGCGCGATTTTCCTGTTGCTGCGCGCCTTCCCTCAACGAGTTTTCCCGCACCTCTTGAGCGCGCCTTGCGCTACGTTCGCCTGTGTGTGGAAACAGAATTATCAACTCCATTCTTTATAGACCTGTTTCATAAAAGGAGGTTCGATCTCTCGGATTAAAAAACATTGATTATTTAAATATAATTGATATATAATAATTTGTATGTGTGTAGTTTATACAAAGCTTACATATTACTTTGCTTTTATTAATTTTCTCTCATGAAAATATTTTATTAGTATTTGATCTATTATACCGTGTGTCTCTACCCATTCGGGAGTGAAACCGCCCTCTTCCGTATCATTAGATGTGCGATTATTTTGATTGTCCGCCTGACTACGCGTAGGAGATGCCGCGGTGTCTTCAGATGCCATTGTGGCCGCTTGTACATATCCAGCATAAGTCACGGTAAACGAATATAAGATAGTGGAAGAGTATATTAGAGCAGGGAAAATGGATTCGTTTCGTTCTTGTGCTGTTTCAACGAGTATTCTTAATGGGCCTTTTGGTGTTAAAACCGCAATCAAATCTAAGCACAAGTTGGAAAAATTCTGTAAAATTATCAATTTCTTATAGAGTAAATTTTCGACAAGTGATAATATCTTACCCCAAATACTTATAACACCGAGCACGACCCATGCCGTCCATTCGGGTAAATACTTGATAAAAACAAGCGCCATTAAGGCAGAAATAAATATCAAATATGCCTGTTGAAGTTGCAAAGGTCCTTGCCAATGAATACAAATCATTCCTACCACACCAAAATTCCATAAGCCTATGCCTAGTGTGAATACATCCATTGGAATGTTATAAGCTTTCAATATCTGCCTGCAAGTATAAGAATGCAGAATAAGCTTTCCTCAACTATCAAAGATAAAAATATTTTGAATTTACAATAGTATTCTATGTTTACACTTACTCGCAATATAGAATTGAAAACATTGAAAGCAACAATAAAGAGCTTATAATTAGCCAGCCGTGTATGACTTTATAAAATCTGTATTTATAAAGAATGATAAGTATCACAGTCATAACTACAATGACGCTCATAAGAATTAGCGAATTGGCAAACGCCTGCCAAACTTTAGTACTCGTATCAGAGCTGTCCTCATGAAATGGAGTGTATACTCTAAATAAAAACAAAAATTTGTTACTCCAATAAACTCATGTGTCGAGAATGCAATATATTATTATTAAAAATTGCAAAAGCAAAACTTACAAGTACATTCCTTTAGTTGTATAGAAATGCACTGAGCTAATAGTAGCCACTACAACCAGCATACATAGCGAAACAGGGACAAAGAGTTTGATCACATGTGCCGCTCCATACTTTAATTCTTCCTCTTCCTCGTCTCTATTGTAATGCCTCAGTCTGTTTTGATTATTGTTACCAGACGCACTGCGTCTATTCGATCGAGCGACAGTCGTGCCTGATGCTTCAATATGTACCTCAGGAACCCCATTTTCCACCTATAAATGTATCACTGTTAATAAATGTCACTTGGAGAAAAAGAGAGAGGATACTTTGATCAATATTCAAAATTTATCCGCAATCTCTCAATAATTATTAAAAAAAAAGAGAGAAATGGAAAAGTAATAGAATATATTGCTCGCGAGAAAATTACTTCCTCATTGACGTTCCTAGAACGGCCCTTTCTTAGACGGTCATTGCCCAGGATCAGGTCGTCCGTGCGAGACTCCGCGACGTGACCGTCCATCAGGCTTGTGTACTCGTTCGCGGAATCGTAATCACTCTCAGACATTCATCAAAGTCTGTATTTCCGGACGAACGGTTGAAAGACTCGTTCTTTGACAGTTTCCACTATGTGTTACTTTGGCACTCTCGACACGCCTCACCTCGTTTATTCCTCGAACGCGTTGCGCTTACATTAGAGAGAAGAAAAAGCGTAGATTAAATGGATTATTCGATTCAATTCTCTCGCTTATCTGTAAAATCTTACGACTTGTTGACAACCATTTACAACCTCTCTCCTCGTCTGTCGCGCGAGTGATTCACTGTGCGACCACCATCTTTGAAAAAAGTGTAAAGGTGAGATTCCTGCGCAATGATTTCTGCGCAGACGCTCGATGCTCGATGCTGCCATGTAATGGCACCTTAAGAGAGTGTTCTTTTTATTTACACCACGTTACATACTTCTTGCAGACTTTACGTTACTTTTATTGGTCACTTCAAATAATGGAGGATTTACATTGCGGCGATATCCCTATGTACGACATCCAATAGGATGATTTATTTTCAAGGGACAGAAAGCGTAGTTTATTACGATAAGATATGCGCAGTCTATACTTTCTATGTTTATGGTACGTATGTATCCTCTGATCCTCTCCTCTCTTCCCCGATGCCCCGATCACGATCCTGACGCCGCGAGCCGCGCCGCGAGTGCCGCGACTCTCGTCACTCGTGAAACGGGTTTGGTTTTTGGTTCGAAGCGGCAAAACAGCGGCAACGAGATAGTTTCCTCGACCCGGAGAAAGGTTTGGTGTTGTCCGAGTGAAATCAAGAAACGATTCCTCGTAATCCCGGCGTGATTGCCGTAAAGTGTAAATATGTCGTGCTAGTGCCGTAAATGTCAAGCACGATGAGCTTCTCCAGTGATGAGGTCAACTTTTTGGTCTATCGATATCTGCAAGAATCCGGTACGATCGTAGACTTGGCTCGTCACCTTGTAATGTATACGTTAAACGAATGCCGCTCTGGATTTTCTTTCACTCGTATAGTGACGACTTTTCCAACACAGTAACTGGGATTTCTTCGTTACGAGAAAGATTTTTTATTGTAATACACATGTAGATAATTAGCCCCTCATTTTTTGAACGAGCCGGCTTTATCGAAAGCTTATTCACTCCACTCATTAAAGTTTTTGTCTTACTTGTGTTTATTCTCATCTCAGTTTCACATTTTCGATGGGCGGTAAGATTTACATGATAGTTCCTGGAAGATAAACAAATTTGATTGAAAGAAGAAAGCGACTATATTTAATTTAATTAAATTTGCGACTTGCAAACTTTATTTAATATGACTTTTTATACTTGAAACAAATCTCATGATGGACTCGTTTAAGTTTAGCATTGTCGAGGTATAACAATTTGTGTTTTTTTTACCCCAATCTTTTTTTGTTTTTTAAACCTGTATCTCTTGTAGGCTTCCAACATTCTGCGTATACATTTGGCATAGAGTCACATATATCACAAAGCAACATCAATGGAGCTTTAGTGCCACCAGCAGCTCTCTTATCCATACTTCAAAAAGGACTACAATATACAGAAGCAGAAATATCTATAGGTGAAGATGGTACCGAGCAAAGAATGGTGGAATCGTTATCTCTTATCGATGCTGTCATGCCAGATGTTGTCGCGACACGACAGAATCAAATCAATCAACAAAAACAGCAAGTGAAAGCCGAGGGTCAAGATACAAATGGCGAAGAAGGTAATCTATTTGTTATATATTTTTTTTAACAATTAGAATATATAATGTACTGTACATCTACACATGTAACACTAAAGTGAAGATGCAAAGATTGAGCTAAGTGCTAAGAAGATAATAGATGTTAAACAGAAAATAATGCGCACACATATTGCTAAAAGCCTGGTACACCCTGGTTCGAGAAAATTAGAAATTTTTCAGACCTCCATATAACCCAGGCAGATTGAAATAGGGCGGCCAAAGATTACGGTCATTTTGCGAATTATATTACATATCACTTTTGTCAGATGTGACAATAAAAAGTATATTTCTCTAAAGAAATATGTTTTCATTGCTAGAATCCAGACAAAAGTGACAAAACATAACTCAATATCAATCTGTCCGTCAATTAGTGGCAAACAGCTTTTTAAATAAAATTAATGAATGAATTGAAGTATAAATTGATAATATAACTTGTAATTCAACAGCAATTGTCTCTTTACTATTATTTGTATTTGTATTCTTGGAGTAATTATTAGAAAGAGAAATTGATTTCTCTATCTTTTTGTGATTGCGTCGGACAGCAATAGCGCTTTTCACTCTTGGTTCTGTCTTCCCAGAATAGTTTTATGCAAAATATTGTTGGTGATTGAGACAATGTTCGTAGTTTTTATCTAATACAAAAGAAAATACTCTCTTCTTTTCCCAGTTGTCCCATCTAATGAAGGTGTAAGTAATAATGATCGAGGTGGCGACAGAGGAACGGAGATGGAAGTGGACGAACAGACGACTGGAGCGACGACAGGCTCCAACGCCAGTGCCGTTGAAATCCCTGCCAGTAAGGCTACAAAATTACGCGGCCACGAATCAGAAGTGTTTATCTGCGCCTGGAATCCGACTACTGATCTTTTGGCTTCTGGTTCGGGTGACAGTACTGCGCGCATCTGGGACATGTCGGATAATTCGCTAGCACCCAACCAATTGGTTTTGCGTCACTGTATTCAAAAAGGAGGCACGGAAGTGCCGAGCAATAAGGACGTTACATCATTGGACTGGAAGGTACGGACAATCGCCGATATATAGTTCTACTTATTTTTTGTTAAATACGATGATGCGTACATTTTGAATTTCTGCAGTGCGATGGCACGTTACTCGCGACAGGAAGTTATGACGGATATGCGCGTATTTGGACAACCGACGGACGGTTAGCGTCTACATTGGGTCAGCATAAAGGTCCGATCTTCGCATTGAAGTGGAACAAACGCGGCAATTATATTTTAAGCGCCGGCGTCGATAAAACGACCATCATCTGGGACGCCGAAAGCGGACAGTGTACACAACAGTTTAGTTTCCATTGCGCACCTGCCTTGGACGTCGATTGGCAGACGAATACATCGTTCGCCAGTTGTTCCACAGATCAGTGTATACATGTGTGCAAACTCAATGTGGATAAACCAATCAAGAGCTTCCAAGGACACACGGTGCGTATATATATATATATATCGAGGAAAATCTTGTTCGATTTAATCAAGTGCACGATATGTTATTCTTTTCATTGTTTTGTAGAACGAAGTCAATGCAATCAAGTGGGATCCACAAGGAAACTTACTGGCCAGTTGTTCAGATGATATGAGTTTAAAAATCTGGTCTATGAAGCAAGACACATGGGTACACGATTTACAGGCGCATAGTAAAGAAATTTATACTATCAAATGGTCTCCGACTGGTCCAGGAACACACAATCCGAATATGAATTTAACTTTGGCTAGTGCATCGTTCGATTCTACTGTTAGACTGTGGGATGTGGAGAGAGGTGTATGCATACATACGCTTACAAAGCACACCGAGCCAGTCTATAGTGTAGCATTTAGTCCGGATGGGAAGTTTCTCGCTAGTGGTAGCTTCGACAAATGTGTTCATATATGGTCGACTCAAGTGAGTATCTCTCGATTTTTGACCGATTTATGACTGATATAATGTTGGAATTGAAATTGTACTAATATATACATATATATATATATATATTTTTTTTCTTTTTCATTCAAACAGAGCGGCCAGTTGGTGCACAGTTACAAAGGCACGGGCGGCATTTTCGAAGTCTGCTGGAATAGTCGCGGTGATAAAGTCGGTGCATCGGCATCCGATGGCAGTGTATTTGTTCTCGATCTTCGTAAATTATAATTACATCGGCGTTATATAGAAGGAATATTTTTCATCGATTTGTGTGTGCGGCAATATCGTTAGAATTTGAGATTATATCAGCCGTTCAACTTTATCTTATTTTTTCACTTTTCTGTTATACGGGGTGGTCCATAATATCACAAATGCGCTATTCACGCAAGATTTTTTATGTAACAGTATCTTGCTAGAGAGATGCAACGACGGAATTTCATGCAATTGTACCTTTGCGACGAAATTTATGGATATCTTTCGTGCTTTATTTATATTCTTTATTGTAATAAGATTTATAGACTTCAACCATGATACAAAATTATAAGGTTTTAATTATATATTCAAGTATTTAATATAGACAAACGCGAAATGTAATAAAATAAAGAATTGGTCCCCAAAATATCATTTGAGATAATTTTGGATCACTCTATATAATTGTATTTAAGTTACTTGAATCTTGGATATGTTTATGATTTATATATGTTGTATATTTATATATTACTTTAAGAACTCTACAATTAAAAAATTATACAAAATAATAGACCAACTCGAGGAGCAAATAACGGATGAATGTACAATTTACGAGAATTTTAATAAATTAAAGATCACAAAAATAAAACTTTTATCCACACAGCAGTTTTAGAGCTTACACGCCATGATTTATTAAATTTTTGATTTTGTGCTTATGGATTGATCGCTATTTAACTTCAATTTTATTTTCCTCCTGCAAGTTTTAGATACAATTTTGTGATGAATAATGAATTTGGGTTTTCGCGCGACATACTCTTTTGGAGTGATTCACGAGCATTAGGAACCAGTTTTTTATGATGACAATTACATCTTGATATAAATCATTACTCTACATTTGTCCTTCGAGTCAGTCTATTAGTTTGTTTATTTTCATTGAAGTCTTTTTGTCATTTCAAAGTATTATAAATGATATTTAACGTACAGGCAATTTTCAATTAAAAAAAACTTTTTTTAAAGATTATTTCCTTAATATGACTTTAAAAATGCATAAAGAGAAAAGCATGTACATTGACAATGTTTTTAATCGTAACACTGTACAGTGTAACAGTTCGATAGACGTAATATTCATAGAGAAATGAATTACCATCTTCATTCGCTAAAAATGATTGGAATATGTTATTCCAAGTGTATAACTGTAATAATATTAAATATTATGTAAGCATCTCGATAAAATAAATAAAAAAAATAATTTTTTTTTAAGAAAAATTGTGATTGTGGTCGAAAATAATGAAACTCTATTATAGCTATTACTCGCCATATCCACGATCCTTTTTATAATGTATAGGGACAAAAAAATATTCATCGCTGGCTTTAAACGAAATTTATTATCATTAGTTACGTGTATCACACAACTTAATATTTCTATTAGCTGTCATCGATTTGATATCTCATTATAACCAATTAATAGCAGGCGATCTAAAAAAAGTTATATATTTAATTATGTTTCTGTAAATAAGTAATTATTTATCGCGCTACGATATCTATATGTGCAACATACATATCTCAATGTATTCATAAATCGTTTCTTGACAAATATTTAAATTAGTTTTTTAATAATGAAAAAGACTTCGAAGAAAAAAAGAGTCTCTCTATATATTCTAACTTCTATATATAACACTGAGAGATTGATATTGAAAGAGACTTAATAACTACATTTTTCTTGGATATCCTAAGATCGCATTTTGATGAAACAAATTGAAATTATAAATTTTTTTAAATATTCTTATGTGGCATAATCGTATCGTATCGAATATTAAATAATTATAGTAATAATGCATACACGTTTTATTTTTGCCGTATTTTCTGCGACACCTTCAATCCAGTGTATTATTTTAGACACTTTGTTCGATAATCGCTGCTTTTGTACTCTTGTTACGATAAATAACAACTGAGTAAATATATAACAGCAAAAAGAAACGAAACAATCGTATAGTTAACAGTAATCAAAACTAAATTATAATTTAAAAAAAAAAAAGGACAAGATAACGTAAAATTATTTCTAAATTAGTATGTAGAATACATCTGTTGTACTTTATCGATCTTATCATGTATTATAATAGTCTCCTTTCAACATTAAATAGTATATTTGTGTAATTGCCGGATCCTTTTACAAGATTTAGGTAATTCTTTATCGATTCGTGGACAATTTCTTTGATTAACACACTATGCAGAAAATAGATATCGTTCAGAGTTGCAAACTGCAGGTACATATATGCAGCCAAGTGCCTCTCGCATCCAACGATCGACGCTGGTATATACGAGAGGCGGTATCGCTATCGATATAATAAAATATTTGTACATTTATATTGAAGTTGGCAAAAGTAAAATTATAAGTTCAATCAACTCACGTCGCTTTCATATCGCCTTGTCTTCTGCAAATGCGAATAATTGATAAATGCTGCGGATACAATTAAATACGCTAGAAGGAACGGGGGTATTCTCTGCGTAATAGAAGAGCTTAGACAAGATCACAATGTATAATACTGCTTCGTTACACCTTTCTCCATGTCCGAAGAAGCTAAGATATAGAAAGGAACGGTAAGAAAAGCTCTTAGATAAAGCTCTCAGATCTTTGCACGTTTGTTTGGAGAAACGTTACGCGCAATGGTCACAAATCTATCATACGTCATCGTACGTAATCTTCGAACAATACAATCGCTATTTTTTATTCTTGCCAAACCAAATGTAAAATTACGCATTAATATATTACAACCTGACTCAATAAATAAGCTAAAATTAGTAGAATTATATAGAAAAGAAGTCGAAAATATTATGCGCAAAATATTTCGATTCCTCAATTGGGTTTGCTCACACCTGTTACACACTAATTGTAAAATTCAAACACTTGTATCGCCTGTTGCAACTGCCATTAATTCGTAAACTACTTGTAACGCGAGAAATACGGATAAACGAAAAACAAGAACGACCAATAAAATAACTTATCACAACAATGATGGTCGATTAAAAGTCGCATATAGCAATAAAGCTAAGATATCGGATCTGGAGTTTTTCTTTGCAGGTCGAGGACGCGGTTACAACAGACGTAGTTCATTAGCCTGCACCTGAAAGATTAAAACATTATACAATTATCAATACAATTGTAATCTTTCCAAAATTAATCTTTCTCTATAAAATCGATCATATCGACGAGATCTAGAAATTAAGAATTAGCAAGGCAAAAACTTATTTAAGAATTAATTCTTCGTTGCAACGCCTTCTGACATGAGTCTAAATAAATTTAGGAAAAAGGATAGACAACTCGTACTCTGGCCATCCGATCGTCCTGCGATCCGCGAAGCAACGGATCATCCTCTTCGATCCACTCGATCCTGTTGGACATTGCAGGCCTGTCACGATCGTTTCTCAATTTGCCGGATCTTGCGATTCTGCCAGCGTCCGATTCCGGCACCGATCTCTTGCCGATATTCTCGAGAACGCGGCGATTTTCCTGGATCTGCCGCAAATCTTGCTCCTGCTTCCTACGAGCCAGCTCCAGCAGGACCCTCTGCCTCAGCACATCCAAGTTGTTGACGATCGACAGGGACCCGATTCTCTTGGCGCGCGTCACGTCCGATCCGAGCTCGTTGCCCAATATCTCGTTCTATATATAACGTACGGTTACAATCCTTAAAATACAATAGAGAGAACACGAGCACATTTGTCGACATAATCTATTGTTCATCAAAATGAATATTCTATTGTCAAAATAGATTTTAGTTAATCGTGCATAAGAGGCAATTTTTCTCACTTTATAAAATAATAAGGTTTCCTCCGGTGTGATCAAAAGGTAGCTTAGGTTTTTAAAGATCAAGGTATAACGCTATTAATATTTAGAATTTTTTCGTCCGCATTTCAAGGAACATTGCGTAAAAGTATATTATACGACGACATAGTGGTGACGGAGTCGCATTATTCACGTGACATTCATTATTTGCTCTTACCCGAGTCTGTAAATGCGCATCTTCCGGTTCAGTGCATTATACAGCGTAAGTTGAAAGCTCTCTTGCGAGCTTTGGCTCGAGCTATCGCACTTTCGAATGTCATTACACATCGTATAAAATTCGCAATTGCTCACGACGTGAAATTATATGTAAATTGAACATTATACGCTCGAAAGAGAGTGAAAGAGAGAAGGATACAGTATCAAAGGAGAATCGTTTCGCAAAAATGTACAACCTATTAATTTGGTTTAAATTAATTGTTCATCTATCGCTCGCTTTAATCGAAGATACATGACTTTTGATCGCAGGATTAATTATCTCAAATATTTAATGCTAGAATTCAAGCTGCAAATTCTTGGTTGTCTTTAATCGCGCTTGCAAGTTTTCCGTCTACTCTATTTTGTCTGATCTCTTTAAATCATTCGTTTGACTATAACAAATCAAGTGTCACGAAGAGCTGCTCTTGGATAGTTTGATAATCAATGTGTGTTAAACAACAAGGATTCAAGTAATGTATGAAGGAGATTTAACCAAAAATAATGTCAATAATTTCATCTATTATTGCGAGATTGCATTCCCAGACAACACAAAATGTCCTCAGGATCATCCTGAATATGTCCAGGATGGTTCAGGATATTTGTAGGATGTTTTAAGATATTATTATAAATATATTTTATGAAAATTTAATATGCATACATGATTACTTTCGGTTATGTAGGCTATTTATTATAATTTAGAAATTTTAAGTATTGTAATAAGTATTAATGTCCTATAAATGTCCATTGGATAACTCCTGGATGTCTGTAGGATATCTGCCCTGTCTATTATATTGAATGTCCTTTGGATTTCCAGAGGACATATACATGTGCAATTAATTGTTAACATTAATTTCGTTTAATATTAATAATTGAATTTGATGCGCACATTTTCATATATTCAAAATTATTATTTATTTAATATTTCATGAGAAATGTTACTATGCGCAACATTCCATAAACTTTACAAAAAATAGTATTCAACCGCTAGTTCGTTTGTTTACCGCTATGCGACGCGCGAACTCGTATTTGAGATTTGGTCATGAGAATTATATAAAGCTTGCAAAGAGCAACTAACAGGAAATTAAAAATATAATTATTTTTTATCAGTTCAATTTTTCTGATGCAATCCCAACATAGGGAATTCAGATATTGGATTGTTTTTAAAATATTACACGACTCAAATCCGGAAGCCAAACCTAAAATATTCATGTACAGCACGAAAACCTCAAATATTAAAGAACGTGAACTATTTTTAGTATTAGATTTTTAGTATTGGCAGTAAATAACAGAACGCAATCTTAATTTATATTTAAATTTTAGAATTTGTTTCTTTTAACGTATGAAAAATATCCCTAACATATCCTATAGAAATCCTTAAGGTGTTCCACAGGATCTCCCTGGATTCTCTAGAGGCTAGTGTACGGCTATCATTTATTCTTCCTCAGGACATCCAGAGGAGATCCGAGGATTAAAATAGGATATCCTCAGGATATCCTACATGTATGTCCTGGATGCCCTTTGGACGTCCTAAGGACATCCTTGTGCTGTCTGGGTTATCACGTATGTAAACACATAATTCTTTTATGCCATAACAAACTTTTTTGAAAATTTGCTGCTTTTGAAGGATCAAACATAACAAATTTATTTGTACGCATAATGTTTGACAAGAGAATGCATATTTTATACACAGTGCGCGTCTTTTTACGTTATGTTTCACATTAAAACAATAAATCGTGCATGAAAAATGCAATAATATAAGTAATATTACAATTTTTACTTTTTCAGTAGAGTATACGCAACGAAAGTTGCTTTGATCCTTGGAGCTTTCAAAAGTTATCCACTCCGAAATAAACCGCGGAAATCGTACAGAATGTCACAGGAAATAAAAAGGAACGCAAATCCTATGTAATCCCACGGCGTGAGATCTCCCACGTGTACGCATTTCTAAACTAGGGAAAGGGAATATCTCCATTCATGAATCGGATTCTCTTCCTCGGTTCACTCGTATATATACGTATATTTACGTCATTTTGCATCACGCCAATACGAAACCGAAGCGCTTACCGTGTATCTCCTGCGTATCTTGTATACGTATGTGTTATCTGTATCGCGAATACTACTAGTCGATCCAACACACAATTAACAATTCAAAACGTAAAGCGTGCTTGTGTAAACCAACCAAGCGAGATCTGACATATGTCTCGTGTCGACACAATAGTCCTTGCATTTGGAATTGTTGTTTCGCAACAAACGTGATTTCCGCGCGGACGCACTTCAACATATTAAGAATTTATCGACGGATTATTGACGATACCCTCTTATCACTTCAATGAACTTTGTAGTCTCAAAATGCCACTTGCCTTTTTTTATGACTCTTTTAAGAGAATTAAAAATATTTTTCGTTAAAAATTGATTATATATATACTTATAATGATGCAGCAATAAGTTTAAAAAAATAAAAACATAAGAAATTTATACGCATAAAATTGCTCGTGACAATTATCAAAACAATTACATAAACAATATTTTTTTGAAAATTGTTTTTTTTTCGTCTTATTCTCTGAAAAGTTTAAGAGCCTTTTTAAACTCACGACGTTTTAGACATATCATCCATCTTCGATTAAAGAGAAAAGAGCGCGATTTTTACGTCACAATAATAGCGGAAATAAATGTTGCATGTTATTTAAGATGTTCCCCGAAAAGAATATACCTCCAGTTCTGGTATCCTTTCATCCATCAAGAGGAAAATTTTGGGACCGTCATTCGACACATCCCTTCTTTCGTACGATGATAGAGGAGCGGAACTTGTGAGGCCGATTATCGTCGTAGACGCCAGAATGCCGA